ATAGATGTGCATATTTTGATGGTATTTTATGTTTTTAAAAAATAGAGTTTAGCACTTTAATATATATATATATATGTTTGGTCTTGAAAAAAAAAATGGTTTAGTAGGTTTTTTTTTTCCTTCCCATGAAAAAGGGTTTTGGTGGCTCCCTAAAACTATAGTTAGGATTTTCTTTAGGAAATTAATGAAAATGACTTATGATAGGATTGGAATTGGTAACTGTAAAAGGATGAGGGACTATTTTCGGTTCAAATAAAAAGTTTGGATAATACCTAGTATTTGTGGTAAAGGTTAATTAGAAACTAAATCTGAAGTTTAACCTAAATCAAAAAGAAAAAAAAAAAATCGTTTTTGATGATCATCAAAACATCTTTGGTAGCTAGATCCATCCAAGTAAAATAAATGCTGCAAGCATGCTCATTCATGTTTGGTTTAATGCCCTGGTAATGCCCCAAAGGGGTGACTCATCAACTAATCACTCAATTAGTTAATAAGAGACTAAAATTTTATTTTAGAAATCTTAATTTGAATATTAGGCAAGTGAATAAAAATTTCAAAAAGGAAAGGACGTCTTGTATCAAAAAAAAAAAAAATCCTTGCTTTAATTAATTCCCCATTCTCCCAACTAAACTCCCTACCATGCATCATTATAACCATAAATTTCCCTAAGCTTCAGATCCAATCAAAGCGGAGTTTTAGACCAAGGCCTTGATAAGGCAGAATCCTCAAATCACCCCCTGATAAATATGGGTAGGGACGGATCCACCCTTCAAAAAAAAGCAAGGACAAATGACACCCCAAAAGTATCGATTTTCCTAAATCGATCATTATCTAACGGGTGACGTCATCACCGTCACAATCTCCGTTTAGCCCGTGCCGATGTGTCGTTTTTTTACACGCTGGATGCTAATGTATACTAATTCCGCTCTTGGGGAAAAAAATAGGGAAATTACTTTGTGATTCAACAACCATTGCGGAGACTTTTCAAACTTCATCACCGACCGTGTCATGGAGGGAACCACAGTCACCGGATTTAGAGGCCATGGATCTCGTTGACCAGACAAAGGTAACAACTATCGCGGCGGCAATGTGGGACGATGTGGTTGGGCTCGAGGACCAGCAGAGACGGCACCTACAGAAGCTCCATGCCAAGGGAGTTCTTTGGAAGCAGCCCAGGGATCACGGCTCCGCGGTCGTGTTCCGGCTGTCGCATGAAGGTGAGGTTTCGCCGGATGAGAATTGCCTGTTCACCGCGTTGCAGAGGGCTATGGTGCCTGAGATTGATGCGCGGGAGCTCCGGAGGCGGGCGGTGAAGCTGTTCGTGGAGGACCTTGGATCTGCTATCGAGGATGAGAGAGAGTCGATAAACAAGGTAATTAGGCATATGTACTCGCCGGATCTGAGAAGCGGATGGCGTGTTCATGTGGTTCAAGAGGTTAAGTTGTTGGCCAAGAAGGAGGATCGCGTAGCCTTGGACTCGGCCATTGACGCACTCGTTCAGCTAGGAATGCAGAGGTAATTTTTTTTAGATCATAACTTTCTTGGATCTGCGCATTTGATTATGGGTCAAGGGTTTAGATAATTTTGTAATGAATGTTCGTTTGGTTCCTGAGAAAACGTAGGAAAATATAAGAAAACAAATGGGAATGCTAAAATTTCAATCTTTTTTTAATTTCTACATAATTTTTTTGTTTTTAAAATGGAAAACTCAAGGAAAGGAATAGATTTACCATTGCACCATCACTTGCACCAGCAGAGCAGCTCTAGAATTAGAGGAAGATTCCATGCGAATAAACTCACAAACACCCATAATCTTTTCCCCTCGACTAATTTCAGGAAAGAATTGCAGAAATGAGAGAAAAGTCTTGTGGTTTTGTGGTTTTGAAGGTTTTGTGGTTTTGAATTGAAGAGAACCCTAACCCCCAACTTTGAAAACTCTGAACTAGGGCAAACCAGTTGGTCATCAAATATTGATTAAAAATGAGATAAAAAGTGGGACCCACCAGTTATATTGTCAAACAAAGGGCGCGTAAATGACACGGTATGTGAAAAAAAGCGGAATTAGTACACATCAACATCCAACGTGTAAAAAAACAACACGTTGGCATGGGCTAAACGGAGATCGTGACAGTGATGACGTCACCCGTTAGATAATGATCGATTTGGGAAAATCGATACTTTTGGGGTGTCATTTGTCCCTGTTTTTTTTTGAGGGGTGGATCCGTCCCTACCCATATTTGTCAGGGGGTGATTTGAGGGTTCTGCCCCTTGATAAACTAAACACATGTTTGAAAAATGCAAGTACTTGTGGGTTAGTTAGACCAAAAGTCTGCTTAAATTATAGAAAAACACATGCTTAAAAAAATTCTACACAAAATTTAATTTCATTCTTGAAAATGAGTTCTAATGAGTTTTTAAGCAGAGAAATGGTACACATAGATACTGTAATTTTTG